AACAAAACTCATAAAACCCCACAAGTTATAGCATCTCTGCAGACTAAGCTAATGATCATCTTCCATATTTTTCAAGCTTGAGAGAGTGCTGTTTTTTTCAGTGGAAGCCAAAGCAACCCATCCTGCATTATTATTACAGCATCACAGTATTCATTATTCCTCTTAGCTACTGAGTGAAAATGCTGCAAACAAATGAAAAAGGGAAGATCCAGGATTACTTAATCTGCATAAATTACCAAAGACCTTGAAGGCAGAAGTCATCATTGCGAGGTCATCACTTTTAACTTGGGTTTATTCTTTTAAACAGGGGTGGTTGCCTTGTCTAAGAAAGGCCTGATTTAATTCAAATGTTAAAAAAGCTATCCTTTTAATCCAACCCACCAATCCTTCACCTCCCCTCGTGATGTTTAATCCAATTCGGTCCGGCCAGAAGGAACCTCACATGCCTCCAGCATGGTCTAGCATCTGTTTAAGCATGCTCAGTTGTTATGCTTGCCAGTTCCACCTCACTGCCCCTCTGTCCACTCTGTTTGCAATGCTATTTACACAGGATTGTTCACACACATCCCCTGCGCTCATACGTTTTGTAGCACTTCAGATGCATTTTGACCACTAGCATTAATGACCGACTGCAATGAAACATTTTCTTAAAACACAATATTGAAGGTGCAATTTGTTTTAATTAAAGAAAACCACATTATTGTGAGACTTGAATACAATTAGTGCAAACAACACAATCACTGATAAGAATAGTAACCTGCATTGGGCCTTTCATACTATATTTTATGTCGTGTTGCAGCAGGTTAGACTCTACAGAGCTTTGCATTGCTTAATTTCATGAAGAGAAATTTATTTTAAGCACAAAACAAACTAAAAGAATTCCTTTGTTTATTTAGATTTTGTGCAGAGCAACACTATGAAGACAAGAGAGGGAGAACTGTTTTCTTTTTGCTACTCTAAGAACGGGCCTATCTTGACTTTACTACTTTATTCCCTGTGCTAGAGCCACAGTATATTGTTAGTTCTTATGTATGCTCTCCACTGAAATCTAATTAAAAATTAACCGTTATAAACAAATTATATATTTTCCTTATGTATTATCATGCCATGAGCCACTGTCTGTCTGTGAAATATTTTATGAGACCATGTTTCTGCTTGTAATGGCTTGCATGTGTGTATGTGTTAATACATGCACATTTGCACGTTTGAGAGTGTGACTGACTGCTTCACGGTATTCATTCTATGACAGTCGGCATATTATTTATCCCAATAGAGACACAGCTTGTATTCAAGACAGGGACCTTATTAAGCTTGGTATTTGTGGTCACTGCCATAGAAATGTCACCCATTCACTCTGTTTAACATTGTGACTGTGGCTCCCATGGAAAGCACTTGAGTGTATAGCTCTAACAAATGCATGAATGGGAGGTGTGCATACGTATTTTTGATTTGTTGCCCAAGGACTATACTCCTTTACTGTTGAGACATGTCATGGTTTATATAATAAGCTATAGATTTTTTATTTACTCCCAATTAATATTTTGTGTAAGGATCCATACTCATTATTCTCAGCCTAAATAGTCAAAACAAGGATTTTTTTCCCCCCCTACAAGAAATGTAATTAGTTTTGCTTGTTTAGAAATTGAATGTGTGAAATAACATGGTTGTGTTTTGGGTGTTACCTTTTCATTCTCCATCAGAAAACAAAATGTCTTGATATCTATCATGTTTTTCTTTTTCTATGGACAGATTGCGGCTTCCTATGGAAGCATTGTGTGTATCTTTGAGCCTGTTCAGCACCCAGATCAAAAGGACACATCTCTGACTGTGAGTAGACTACATTCACCAGTCACTGTCTGGTCATCCATTTATTCAGATCATCCTGAAAAACTAGACCTTTTTTTTCCAGGCCACTTGATATTTGAAACCCATCACAAGTCGCCAGGGAAGCACAAATGTTTTCAACAGACATGCACATTCCTAGTGAAATTTTGTATGAAGTTTTGCTGGCATTGCCATGTTTACTGTTTATTCCCATTCTTGGGAGTACAGTACAGAAGTCTTAGGTTTGTATGTCAGCGTAGAACAGCCTTCTGTTGTTTTTAGATGTCAAAGAATAGTCATAAGGAATGGAAAAGGTTTACACATCCTAAACACAACTCGGTACCTCTTTCATTGCAGAAGTTTCCTGGTATTGCAGCTGCTGTCTGTGTGGCCTGATCACATGTGGCTCACATGAGAGCAGCTTCACTTTTAGTTAATGTTAGGCAGTTGTAACTACTGATACGGAATGATTTCTTACAGAACCTGTGCTATTTTTATCATTCGATATTCTTTTAAAATTATGTTTTTGTCTTGTGTGTACAGAAGGTGAATCGCCAATGGCAGAAGACTGGTCAATTTGTATTAAAGTCAATGGTACGGAACCTGGCCTGGCACCCCACAGGTACTGTGATATGTAGTGCTCTCTTAAAGTAACACAAAAAAGTATAGTTGTGTCCTAAAAAGTGTTGGGTATATGCCTTCCTTTTTTTATTTTATTTTTTTTTAAACAAATGATTAATTAATTAATTTATTTATTTATTTATTAATGTGTTTTTGTGTCTCCAGGCAGCACTCTCTTAACTGGCTCTAGTAGCCTCCAGTTGTGGTCTCATGTTGATGGAGTAAAAGATGAAGATAAAGATGAAGCTGAAGCTGAAGAAGAGGGAAAGCAGACAGAAATGACCATAAGAGACACTCATTCAGCCTGGAGTTGCATCTGGCAGAGCAAGTAAGAACTGAGAAGTACAAAATCTGCACATGATACTGCCTACGTCTATAACTTTAAGAGAGGGATTTTTATTGCTCTGTGGATAACTTTATCGACACAATTTTTAGTTATGTACTAAATACATAATACTAAACAAAGCCAGCTGTTATAGATTTTATTTAAGATAAGAGATACTTTATTTATCCCACACTGGAGAATTTCACTCACTACAGCAGCTCTAGATACAACACAACATTTACGTAAATACACATTAAATAAAAAATAGAATGAGAAATACCATATATAATAATAATAAAAATAATAAGAGTTATATGTCCTCTATATACAGCGTATGTGTACAGATGTGATTGATATGGAAATAAAATGTCTTTATATTCCAATAGTGATATAATAATTTCACCTTATTCTGTCTTAATCAGCTGCCATTACTTACTATATATTTTATATCTGAAAATGCAGAGTTTACTTGTATTGACTATATTGAAAATAATGTAATTTTATGTATTTTTTGTCTGAAGGACGGCCTCCCCAGTCAGTTTAATGAAGTTCTCTCCTGATGGGGAATTCTTTGCTACTGCTGGACAGGTAAGTGGCTGGTACCAGGAGATGCTAAACCTATATGAATTTGGATGCAAATTAGTCATGTTTGCATTTTTATTTAGCCAAACATTGTACTGTACTTTTTGTAAAGTAACAGATGAGTAGCGCCTACCTTTTAATGTTTTAAAAAAACATTCAGCCTAATTGCTTTAACTTGTAATAGCACATCAAACATTATGGCATCCATTATATCCCTATTTGTCTCTCCTCTTAAGGATGACTGCCTAGTAAAGGTCTGGTACAGCACCAGTAAGTGGAAGTCAGGTGTTTCGAGTCTCTTCACACCTCCAGAACCCATTGTTGGTGTCCAGGGAGAGCTGGCCTTTTCCTTTGTCTACCTGGCCCATCCCCGCTCTGTTACAGGCTTCTCTTGGAGGAAGACCAGCAAGTACATGCCACGGTATGGACACTGTCAAACACAAACATTTATTTTTAATTGGTTAATTTTCACCTAGGCTGACACAGCTGAGTACAGCAATTATAAAATCACAAATTACCAATTGCATAATAATAGCTAAAACAATACTCAACTCGCATAACCTGTTTTTTAGGCCTGTTTCACTGGGTAAACAGGGAGTATCTCTTTCTGTTTATTTAGCCACCCAATATACTGTATTTGTGGGTTGAATAAAAATGAATGAGCTCTCACAAGCAAGCGCAAACAATAGGTTAAAGGCTGTATCACACTATACTGTTACTCCCAGTTCTGCCTTCCTTTGTTACGGCATTGCTTATCTTATGTAACCTGTAATTGTTTTCTGTCTGAAATTATGATCTGACACAGTTCATGGCAGATTTAGCATACAGGAATATTATTTTGGAAATTACTAGGAAGAGATTATTGTTGCTCTGCTTATCAGATCAGAGAAACAGACAGTAAGACAGTGTAATGTTATGCCAGAGTTCACAGTAAGCTTATTTGCTTCTATAAATTAGCATTTAGAAAATCTCTTATTCTACCTTTGGCATCTTGCTCTGTTTGTAAATTCCAGTTGCTTTCCCTTTTTAAGCAAGCTGTTGTGTCATGCTCTGTCATGGCCTACATTAAGGACAAAATTAGATTCAGTCATTTCTTTATCACCAGTGTCATTACTACTCCTGTTAACCTTCATTGTTTGACCTTTACTTTAACTTATCTCTCTGCAGGTGTTCCTCCTTTGACCTGATACTGAATAGTACTATGTTAGATGATAAGAACTGAAGAGTTCAGTACCCTGCATCAGACTTCAGCCTAAACATTTTGCCTTTATCCTTTCTTTTCCACCTTGCTGTCCTCCCTCTCTCCTAACAGGGGTGCAGTGTGTAACGTTCTGCTCACCTGCTGTAAGGACAGTGTGTGTCGGCTCTGGGCTGAGACACTGTTGCCGGGTGACAGCCTCCTGTCTGGTTACCATAACAACCACTCCTCTGGCCAACACAGTGACACACTCAGATGTGCTGGCCCTAGGAAAAACACCTGCAATGGCAAGATGCAAGGAGGAACAGCGCAGGAAGTAAGCAACTCCATTGTCATTTTGTTTTTGCTAAAGATAAATACACTGTGTTTGTGTTAGCTAGTTGTACCTAAATTGACTGCCAACTCAGTCTAATACAACAGTCAGTAATAAATAATAATAAAGGCCTTTATGAGGGTTTTACATTCAGTGCTTGTTAAGTCTATTTAAGAGAGGTGTTAATTCAAGTTAATGCTCATTAAGGAGGCTGTAGTTTGCAGTGCCCATACCTACCCATACCGACATGAATGGGGTATAGTAAGTATAATTCAGCAGGAATGTAACTGCAAAATGACCATTACATTGACGTCAAAAGAAGTGTTTGCTGGGGTCAACATCATTTGTTTGGGTCTAAATCAAAGGCATTATTTATAAAGCTGTTTCACAGGGAGAATGTTGTTATTTTAGTTATAAAATCCCCCCAAAATCACCATAATTTCATAAACAGTGGGAAAATAAGTAGCACAAATGCTGTGCTCTGTGGTTTGCCCCACTTGGCCTTGTTATAGAAGCCAGGCGACTATATTTTCACCACTGCTTATGTAGGACATTAGGATGCTGCAGAGATGAGGGAACAAGAGCAAAGGGAGACTGAGAAAGAAGATAAAAAACAGTGGCTTAGTGTAGTTAAAAGGGAAAATTAATTGGCTATCAGACATGATGATGATGGCGTTTGAAGCTTTGCAGGGCTTAAGAAAAGGATCAGTGAAAAATATAGGCCTCCTTTCTGTAATCTTTAAAACACCTAAAAATTACAACTTTTTTTATGGTTGTTTTTTGTTACATTTTGCTGTTGCTAACTCACATTTTTAATGGTGGTGTCTTCTGCTTTAAGTGACTAGTGTTGTAGCTGACAGTCTAGCTAGGCCTCAAACACAATACTTCCATCCATTTAAATATGGACATTTAAATGGTTATGGGTCTCACTGGCACTTACAGAGCTCAGGGCACATTAGATTACAGGAAAAATAGGTATGCAAATTTCTCTACTGTGCCTTGAGGAGAGTCTGTAAGAGTACATGTGTGGAATTATTCATTAAAAATCACAGACTGTGCTGGATCATCCAGGCTGTAGTCTGAGGTAACTCTCCCCCTCCAAAATTGAATGGATGGACAATACTGAGAGAGTCCTATTTTAAACTCCATTTTAATATGATGCCTCAGGGTGGGATGAACAGTACAAGAGTTCTCTCAAAATCAATGAAGTTAATTAATCCCAAAGTTTCTTGATAAGGATGCTGTTTGAAAGCCTCTAGAGGAAACAGTGATATGGGATTTCCACTGCAATCTAAATTTTCTACGTAGATATAAACCCATTCTAAAGTATGTGTATCTGCTTTGGCATATGTATACTCAAATGGTGAATTTACACACATTTCTTATCAATATTCGCAAAAGACTGCTTTTTGGGAGTGATGAGCGCATTAATTTCAATAATACTTGGAGAAATTACAGCCTTACAGCTCAAGTTACTCATTCTACATAAGAGAAGCTGCATAAAATCAGCGAAATTCGAACCCATTATTATGTTAAATAATCTCCATGAAACTTAATATTCTCTGTCTTTCAAATCATTCATATGAGACTGCTGTTACAGGTTAATACCTTGTCGTGTCACAGAGGCTCAAGTCTTGAATTGTAGGTCTTTACACGTTACTGCGAAACAACAGGAAAAACCAAATTACATAACCAAAGTACCAAATTAAGTTAAGGTTTCATTTCACTTCCCTTTACATGCCCCTCTCTTTATCTCAGCCATTCTTCCGTGCTGCCTCTTTCTCCCTGGCTTTTTTTAAACAAACTGGGCAGTTAAACTTAAATGTTGTTTAAACGTCAACAACATTAAATTTAATTCCCATCCCTAAGAGTAACACTGGTGCAGAGTAGCTCAGCTCAGGCTGGGAGAATAGTGAAGTCCTGTTTGTTGGTACAAGTTGATTAATTCACATCAGCCTCCAAAAGCAGGTTTAACCTGCTTCACTATGTCAGCCTGAAAGGGGTATCCGAAAACAATGGTGTTTCACCTCCTTGCCTCATGCTATAAAATGTTTGTTGCTTTTCAGTTTATTTAAGAAGATCTAATCTCTTTAAAGACATCATTGCCTCTGTGATTTGTACATACATTTATAATCTATGAGAAAAGCACTTTAATAAACTCAAGGCAGTCTACATTCATAAGATATAGATTTCATTTTTGTCAAAACAATCATCACATTTGTGGTATCAGAACTGTAGCATGTAAGATCAAAACACATTTAATATTGTGTAGTAATTATCTAACCTGAATAATCTATGTTTTCCTCACAGTTGAATTTTCAAGATTTGCTGCACTCCTCCTTTTATCGGGATGTGCCCCAGCCCTCCCTGACTGGCTGCCTGCCTCACCATCAGAGCCGACACTACAACCACAAGAAGAGCAGCAGCAACATGCCCCATGCCAACGCTCTCTGCCACTTCCACATAGCTGCCAGCATCAACCCTGCCACCGGTCAGATTCAAGCACATTAGTTTCTGTTACTTATTGATAATCCTGTTGATCCTCGTTACCAGCATTGTGTTGTATTGTGAAACAAAATTGCTCCCAATTTATTGAAGAATTTGCAGCTACAAGATATTACAAAATATTTCTTAAAGAGAAGGAAATAATGTAGCACACCTACAGTATAGAGATCATTAGTTATTTGTAAACCATGGACACTGCAGTTATAGTTATATTACAGTTATAGCTCTGATTGAATATAATCAGCTTGAGGTCAGAGGGCTTCACCTCTGTGTTTCTAATGGCAGAAATGCTTTAAAATTTGTAGATTGCCTGAGGTTGTTTAACATCCCTATGAGCTTTTATGCTGAATTAAATCAGGGCAAAACTTTCTTTCAGCCTTGAGGCTGAGAAGTCTTGTAGGGTTGTATTTGTATGCTTGAATAATATTTAAGTATACTTTAAACCATATTCATGAAAGTTAATTTGCTCCAGCAGATGTCTCTTTGTCCTGCATGCCCCAAATCTAATGTAATGTTAATTTCTGTTATTCTTTGCCATCTTTTTCCAGACGTTTTAACATCACTTGCATTCTTTATCACAGACATTCCTCTGCTTCCCTCCATCTCCTCTCTGAGTGGCGTGGATGACGAGGAGCCTGGAGGTCCTTTTACTGTCCACTGGCTCAACAACAAAGAGCTTCATTTCACTTTAGCCATGGAGGTCTTCCTGCAGCAGCTCCGAGGCAGCCTGGAGCAACAGAACGAATGCTCCCAAGAAGGTACAAACATATATTTGGACCAGACATTAACAATTTATATGAACCGCATATGAAGCAGGAATAATGCTTTCAAATCTAGACTCCAATCAGAAAGTGAGACTTTTTACATTTTTCATTAAGCTCTATACTAATTTTCAGAATTTAAATTTGGGCACTATGATTTTTCATTCTCTTTCAGAGGCTGAAGATGAAGATAACTTTAACGAAGAAGACTCCCAAGGACCTGAGGCCTTGGAGCTTCCTCTGGCAGCAGTGAAGCACCAGGTGGATGTGTTGTTAGAGGAGTGGAACAAAGGCGCAGACATGTTGTTCAGTATCCATCCCATGGACGGCTCTCTCTTAGTCTGGCATGTAGACTGGTTAGATGAATACCAGCCAGGCATGTTCCGACAAGCTCAGGTGTGTTCAGTGATAATGTAGTTTATGTTTATGTAAAACAACAACAACAAAACTGATTTTGATGTTTTATGGACTTAATCCCTCACCTTTTACCTGTATACAAATATTCCTAAATGTTGGATAATCATAGTTTGAGAGATTGATAAAGAAGTACAGTGACACAACAGTGTTATGATGGGAAAACTACAGTAAAGCAAAGATTAATTATATTTTTACTGTATAATTTAATGAACACTGTGAACAAAGAAGACTTTTCTTTGGTCACTTTTGCAAACGACTTGTTTGTATTCACAATTTCACAAAGTGTTTCTTGGGGAAAGAAGTAATTTGTCATCTCAATACGGTTGTGAATCATTTTGACAGCTGTGATGGTCCAGCTCCTTTTCTAATGGCTTCTCATCCAGCCGTTCAGACAATTATATTCTAATTATGTGTGACTTCAAAATCAAATTCAAAAGTCCCCTGATGCCTTTTTATTAGCGGTGAAATAATGAGTACCTTGTGACATAGCAGTCAGTCAGTCGGGCAGGGCAGCTAAAAGAATCCCAAGTTTCATTGACATTCAGGTTGATTAGGCCTGGCTGCTTTAATTAGATAAAACAGACAGGATACCGGTATTATTATTAGCATAAGTTTGGTTAAATATTATTCTTTTTTACATATGAGGCAAAAGCAAGTGAAGAGAAGGCTCCAGTCTCCATCACTGTGGCCCAGTTAATTTCACAAAGTCAGTTCTCAGCTTCTATATGGAAAATAGTAGAATTACAGCCCTTTGTTTTTAGCTAACCCTTTTGAAAAGTGTGCTCTTGATCTTCACTGCCATAGGTGTCCTTACCACATTCTCATGGGAACTTTAGCTGTTTCATAATGTACACTTATTTCAATTTAAAAGAGAAGTACTTGATTGACTGAATCCTTATCACTAACTCGCTGCTGTACGTTTTAGTTGCTTTGATTTCATTGCTATGATGTCTCTCTTTCTCTCTTAGGTGTCGTTTGTGTCCCGTATCCCTGTAGCGTTCCCTACAGGTGATGCAATCTCCCTGAGCCACAGTGTGGTTATGTATGCCTGCAACAAGAACGTGGATCTAGCTATCCAACATGGCAGACAGCGACCACCTGGGAGCACATTGCCTCAAACCAAATGTGCTCTAATAAGCTACGGTGGTCAAGGAAAAGCTGCACCCAGCAGCAGTCTTCGACTAAGCATTTTCACCCCCAACGTCCTTATGATCTCCAAACATGCCGATGGCTCCCTAAACCAGTGGGCAGTCAGCTTTGCAGAGGACTCTGCTTTCTCCACTGTGCTCAGTGTCTCTCACAAGTCACGGTACTGTGGCCACCGCTTCCACCTCAATGACCTGGCCTGTCACTCATTGCTCCCTCTCCTCCTCACCACCTCACACCACAACGCCTTGAGGACACCAGAGGTAGATAACATCCTGGCTCCTCCGGACGCCTGCTCCTCTGGTTTCCCTCATTCAGCATCTCTGCCACGTGGGTCACGGCCCAGCCGGGTTTCCCTGGGTGTCGTTTCCCAGGATCCCAATGCGATCTACAGTGAGCTGATTTTGTGGAGAGTGGACCCTGTTGGGCCACTGTCTTTGTCAGGCGGGGTCTCCGAGCTAGCTCGGATCAATTCTCTCCATGCATCAGCATTTGCTAATGTAGCCTGGCTGCCCACGCTCATTCCCAGCAGCTGTTTAGGTGAGAAACATATGAGAGATTGCTGAAGACTTTATTCTCGCTTTCTTTTTTTTAATCAGCCATTTTAGTTGGCACAACTTCATTTTTTATAATTCCAGTTATTTTGGTTCAGTAATATGAAGGAATATTACTGAACAAAAAAATAACCAAATGAGATCTCTGGGACATGAAATCCCCATAGGTAATAATTTAGAACAGTCTGAGTACATTTTCCCTTATTTGAATATAAATAAACAATTCCTGTGAAAACAACTCATTTCAACTCCATAAAATCCACAAAGGCCTTAAATATCCCAATCAATTTGTTACTGTAGTGTACTTGGTCTGTATGACTTTATAACAGGAGTCTATAATATTTGCTTGTTTGTCACATGTACTGTAACTCAGTATTCTGTATAATTGTCTTTCATGTTTATTTAAGCATAATAGCAAACACTGTTCAATGTTCTTTCTTTCCGTCCTTAGGTGTGTACTGTAACTCTCCAAGCGCTTGCTTTGTGGCAAGTGACGGCCACTCACTCAGACTGTATCAGGCTGTTATTGAAGCTAAGAAACTCCTGAGTGAGCTCTCTAATCCTGAGATATCAGTAAGTCCTCAAACCGGATTCCCAAACTCCAGCAAACTGCAAACTTACAATAACTATTTTTATGCACACCGATAACAGCACATCAGTGTTTCCCCTTGCACCCAACAGAATCAGTGAGGTAATAAGGTGCTGTTAATTTGCAGTCTTGCCACTTCATTAGTGTCAGCCTTGGATGACTTGGTAGGGAAATTACATAGGAGCAGAATGAACTAACAAGAGAAGAGAAATAAGATGAATGGCAGTGACCCTTCTAACCAAATAGAGCAGAGTAGAATTCAGCAAGAAGTGGAGGTTTATTATTAGTCCATAACAGAGCAGAGTTATGAACAAGAAAGTTCATAAATAGTCTGTTAAGGACATTCTTTCTTGCACTGCATATAAACAGCTCACTCTGTTCATAAAAGTGTCGTCAATGATGGCGCAGATATTGGTTATATATTTTTAATTTTCAGAAGCACAATTGGCACATTAACTTTATGTTTGTTTGACTGTGTAATAGCGTAATGTAATAGTGGTCTTTTAATGACATTTATTTGTTTCATTTTAGAAATATGTTGGGGAGGTGTTCAACATCATCAGTCAGCAATCCACAGCAAAACCAGGATGTATTATCGAGCTGGATACCATCACTGGTTTTGTAAGTATACATACCAAGACCAAGAGTATTCAAACATATTTCTTTTGCTCTTGCTCTCTCTCTGATCAACAGCTGTCTAACAGTAGAGAGACATTGTAAACATCTTGGATGAAGAGGATATTAACAGAAACCTTCCCTTGAAATAAAGGATATATAAACTGTAATATATTTATTTATTGTTAACAGAAAACATTCTGCAGTAGGCTTTTTGAGTCTCTGTAAAAGGTCAACCATGAGACAACAAAAACGGGTGCAGAGTGCAAATCTTCTCTCCTCCCCTCAGGCAGTTTTCCTGTGCGTATGTCTGTGTAAGACAAGCAAACACACAAGTTGTGTTTGTTAATCGGCTTTACAGTGGATGAAGCATGTTGTTCAGTGTCTGTATCTGATGTCGTTTAATGATAGCTACTGTTGTTCTCTACAGCAGGGGAAGGAGACCCAGCTCCTGCATGTTTTTGAGGAGGATCTGATCCTCGGGAGTGAGAGAACAGAAAGCACACAGGAAACTCCTGATTCTCCCCACACTGGTATGGCCAAAATGACTTCTTCTAACTCAGTGTTTGAAAATTTAGATATTTTTTAAAGGTTTACACATTTACACCACCATAGTGGCACTGCTCATTAATCTCTCTTTGTCTCTGTGTGTTTCCCTGCAGCCTCTAGCCAGCCAGCCTTCTCGGCACGTTTTTTCCTCGTGGTGGTCGAATTGACCCCAACAGGTCGCTCGCTCCTCCACATGTGGCATCTCCATCTTGCTGCTCGACCCGTCACCATGGGTGGGTACTTTAAACAAAAGACTCAAAGTTCACAGGAAAAACATTGATTCACTACCACATTTGCTTCAGGATAAACACTTTTAGCAATTATATTGTTCCAATCCATAACCAAATTAATGGCAGCTTTAAAGGACAGTTTTACCCTCACAGGTTTTATTTACCTTGTAGAAATAGTACTGTACTCTGAACTGAATTTACTGGTATGGTACAGTGTCTGTCACTGCATTCACTGAGTTGTGACCAACAAAAATGTCTTAGCTTTATAATATTACCTTCTTCCTGTTTATGTCCCCACAGAAGACACCATGACGGAGAAGGATGCCACTACAGCTTCTCCTTTGAACAGCTCTCAGTTTAACTTTGACACGTTCAGTTCTCCAGTAGCTCAGAAGAGTAAACCCTGCACTTCCAATCTGCAGAGTGCATGTCGCCTCAGCCTCACAACACACAGGCTATACAGCCAGGAGATGGCTCTGCCGGAAGGGGTGGAAGCCATCAGTGTTACACCCTCAGCAGGTAAGGACAATGCACATACACATGACATACACTACCGTTCAAAAGTTTGG